CCTGATCCAGGCCATAGTCTTTGCAATTATTTTCTGTGCATCAGAAAGCTAAACAGTGACTAGGGATGATAAAAGGAGAATTGATGCCTTTGAGCTGTGGTTCTGGGGAATAGTATTGAATATACTGTGGACTGCCTGGGGAACAAACAAGTTCGTCCCAGAGAGCATGAGATCAGGCTGCTCCTTGGAGGCAAGGATTCTGAAGTTTCATCTGACATACTTTGAATATGTTGCAAGGTGGGACCAATTTTTGGAGGGAGATGTCATGCCTAGGTAGGTAGAGGGGACAGCACAGGAGAGGAAGGCCCTCGATGAGATGGATTGATTCAGTGACTGGGGTAATGAGGATAGATGTGTCAGAGACAGTAAGATTGGCACAGGATAGAGCAGGGTTTAGGGCTGTTGTACATAGGGTCGCTATGAGTTGCAGGCGACTCAATGGCACACAACAACAACAATGACATAACCTATTGGTACAATTCTAATTCTTGGACACATGTTGTGGTTGTTAGGTGCCATCAATGACTATAGAAGTAGAATAGGAGAGGATATATAGTCTCATCATTTTTCTGTATAATTTAAGGCAGTGCTCTTGCTTTTCTTCAGGCTCTATTTTTTGTCTTTCATTACTTCCTTTTGTCTCCCTAAATAGAGTGTTCAAAATTAAGGTCAGTGTTCTACGGAGAATCTGATCTCTGCTGCATAGAACAAAATTGTCACTTTCCCCATGAAGATATATTTCCATTACTATGGCTATGGAGGGTAGAAGGAGAATTGACACCTTTGAGCTGTGGTGCTGGAGAAGAGTATTGAATGTACCATGGACTGCCAAGAAAACAAACAGATTCATCCTAGAGAGGGTTAAACCAGGCTGCTCCTTGGAGGCAAGGATTCTGGGGCTTCGCCTGACATACTTTGGACTTGTTGTAAGGAGAGACAGGTCTTTAGAGGGGGACATCATGCTTGGTAGAGTAGAGGGACAGCGCAGGAGGGGAAGACCCTCTATGAGGTGGATTGATTCAGTGACTGGGGTAATCGGGATGGGTGTGTCAGAGGCAATGAGATTGGCACAGGATAGAGCACGGTTTAGGGCTGTTGTACATAGGGTCGCTGTGAGTCGCAAACGACTCGACGGCACATAACAACAACAACATGTCTAAAATCACATTTATTTTTTTAAAATAACCTCCTCATTGCCTTGAACCCTGTAGAGCATATGTTGTTGTTGTAGGACAGGTATGACTCATAGTGACCCTGTGAACAACAGATCTGAATCCTGTCCTATCCTGTACCATCTTTATCATCCCCAATTCACTTGAGCCTATTGCAGCAGTCGCTTTGTCAATCCATCTCATTGAGGGTCTTATTCTTATTTTGTCTACCTTATACCTTTCTAAGCATTATGTCCCTTTCCAAGGGATAGCCTCTCCTGACAACATACCTCAAGTATATGAGATGAAGCTTTGCCCTCCTTCCCTCTAGGGAGTTCTCTGGTTGCACATTCTCTAAGACATGTCTATTTGTTCTTTTGGCAGCCCATGGGATATTCAGTATTCTTCTCCAACATCATAGCTCAAAAGTATCTATTCTTCTGTCATCCTTATTCATTGTCAAACTCTCAGATGCATAGCAGGTGATTGGAAAGACCATGGCTTGGATTAGGTGATATGAGTCTTTGAACTCATGTCATTGCCCTTCAAGACTTTGGATAGATGCCTGACTGCAGATTTTCCAAAAGCTATATATCTCCTGATCTCTTGACTGCTAGTACCAAGGATGTTGATTATGAGTCCAAGTAGGATGAAATCATTGACAATTTCAGTCTTTTTCTCCATCTATCATTGATGTTGTCTATTGGCACAGTGGTGAGGACTTTTTGTCTTCTTGATGTTCAGATATAATCTGTATTGAAGTCTGTATTGATTCAAGCTCAACATCATGAAAACAAAGATTCTCACCACTAGGCCAATTGGCAGCATCATGATAGACAATGAAGAGCTTGAGATTGTTAACAGCTTCAGTTTGCTTTGCACCACAGTCAGCACTCTTGGTACCAGCTGCCAGGGAATCAAAAGGCAAACTGCATTGGGAAAGTCAGCTGTCAGGGACCTCTCCAGAGTACTGAAGAGCAACGATGTCAGTCTGGAGACGAAGGTGCGTCTGATATAGGCTATGGTCTTTGCAGTTACTTGCTATGCATCAGAACGCTGGCCAGTGACTAAGGATGATAGGAGAATTGATGCCTTTGAGTTGTAGTTCTGGAGAAGAGTATTGAGTGTTCCGTGGACTGCTAAGAGAATGAACAGGTCTGTCCTGGAGAGGGTGAAGCCAGGCTGTTCCTTGGATGCAAAGGATTATGAAGCTTTTCCTGACATACTTTGGGCATGTTGCAAGGAGAGACCAGTCCTTGGAGAGGGACATCATGCTTGGAATGGTGGAGGGACAGCACAAGAGAAGAAGACCCAGGATGAGATGGATTGATACAGTAACTGGAGTAATTGGGGTAGGTGTATCGGAGATAATAAGGTTGGCTAAGGACAGGGCAGTATTCAGAACTATTGTACATAGAGTCACTATGAAGAGTCGCTATGAGTTGCGAGTGACTCAGCTGCACATAACACCAATTCTTTTATCTGCAGTGTTTCAAGTCTTCCTCATATTCAATGAGCAAGGTTGTGTTTCATGTGTAACTCCCATTGCTGATGAGTTTTCTTCTGATCCTGATCCTTCATTCCTCTTCATAGAACCAACTTAAATGATTTGGTCAGCATACAGATTGAATAGGTTTGGAGAAAGGATACAGCCCTCCACTAAATTTTGTCAAGGGAGTTTTGGTGACTTAGTGATAAGGAGTTGTGCTGTCAACACAAAGGCACACAGTACAAATCTACCAGCTGCTCCATAGGATAAAGATGGATATTCTCCTCCCATGAGATTTACTGCCTCTGAAAATCCACTGGAGGGTCAGCTATAAGTCAGTTCTGACTTGATGATAAATAAGAACAGCAATGAAAATTCTGTCACAGTAACTACAGTGAGTTAAACAGAAATTGCAAGAATAGTACAGGATCAAGCAAGGTTTCAATCTGTTATAAATAGAGTTGGTATGAGTGGAAGTCTACACACACGCACACACACACACACACACACGTCCTCCTAACGAAAAGAAAGCCTGTAAGCCCTTTTCACACATAGGTAGACGTGACTCATCTGTTCTGTACTTCTATAGTTCTTTATGTCCAAGTGCTGGACTGTAAATTTTTCCCTGTTTAAATAGATTCAGACCATTGAAACAGTCTGTTGAGGTATTTTTACATCATCTCACGTACTTGTTTTTCTGCCCAACTTCTTCTCATCTGCAAATTTGATTGTGTTTTCTTTTTTTCCATCTAACTCACTAGCCAATGTTGAAGTAGGCTAGGCTGGAATCCTTCCCTTGTGCTTTGCTATTTATTACTAGTAGATTTTAATGAGTGGGATTAATTGTAGAGATTGCATTAACACTTTAGATTGGATATTTCATAATTATAGGTGAATAGTCAGACTGTGGCTGCTTAATAACTTTGTAATGAATAATAATAGAAATAAGGATAAAAACTGGGCGAGCTCTGGTGGCCTAGTGGCAAGAAGCTGCAACTGCAATCTCAGACATGCACGGTTCAAATCCACCAGATGCTCTGCTGGAGAAGGAGGAACAATCTCCTCCTGTACCAGTCAGATCTGACTTGACGGTACACACAAAAAATAATGAAATAAAATAAATTTTTTTTAAAAAAGGATAAAAACTGGTAACCCTGTTTCTATTTTTACTATATACAAAGTCTTTAGCAAAGCATTTTCTAAATTACTTAAAGGAAATGTGGTATATAGCACTTAAAGCTTAACTTATAATAATTTAGACTACTAACTGATAGGTTGGTAATATGAATCCATCATCTGCTGTACAAGAGAAAGAGAGGAAGTCTTCTCTTAAAAAGATTTATATATAGTCTTGGAAATCTGGTGGAGGGTTCCCATGACTCGGAATCAGTTTGACTGCAGTGGGCTGCTTCTTAGTTGGTGTAGAGGAGCGAGCCAAAATTTGACCCTGGGATGTTTATTCAACAGATATATTTATAACTATTCAAAAGTAGAGCATTCTCATAAAAGCTTTCATAAATCAAATGGGCATAAAATGGAGAAACACCATTAATTTATATGGGGAAATTTTTTGCATGTTCTCAGGCCTAAAAAATGATCTACCAAGTAACAATAAATAAACCTAAAATAACACTAATATATAGTGTTTGCAAACATAGTTCAAAGCTCTGGCAGCTTAATGTTGAGATGCTGGGTAGTGTGGTCCCTGGGAAGTGCTTGGTGACACCACTCTTGCTGCTTGTAGTCTGCATAGTGCAAAACAAAAGTAACACTAGTTTTGTTTGTCACCTTTTTTTTTAGGGGAATAATAATGAAAATCCTCACCTGTGCTATGAAATAGGCACTGCACACACACCCACCCACACACACACGTCCTCCACTTTTAAAAATTTTACTTTTTGCCACTTTATAAAAGATCTACATTAATATCTATTTTTAATAAATCACCACTTTTTTTCATAGTCAAATGAAGGATTTAGATTTGCTTATCTTCTAACAGCAAAATGTAGGCCCTTCTAGAAAACATTGTATGCAAATTTTGTAAGTAAACTAGTATAATAATAAAAAATAATTCAGAAAAATGTAGTCCCTCCCAAGTTAGGAGGGTAGCTTCTGTGGTACTCTGGTCTGTATGTGATCTGGCTGGTGATTACATGGGCACATGTAAAAATTCACCTATTTACTTAAGATTCGTGTACTTTACAATATTTATATTATACTTAAGTAAAATTTTGCATTTAAATGAGACCTCTTCCAGATTCTGGATTCTGTTATCGTAAATGAGTAAGCCTTCATTGGAAATATGTGATGAGAAAAGTGCCAACAGTCAATAATTTTTCCATATATTTTTCTCTACTTAGGATGTGTCTAGTCCGAATGAAGCAGGAAGGCCGGAGTGGGAAATACATGTGTCGTATCATAGTTCATTTTATGTGGGAGGATGTTGAACAGCGTGGCAAAGTCATGGGGGTAAGTAGTCTTGTCAGATTCTACACAAGGCAACCTTTTCAGATTGCCTGACTCAAATTGAGTCCAGTTGTATCCAGTTTAGAATGTCCTTGCTTTTAGATTTCTATGTATAGCTGCCTGATGTCAAGTGCCAATTGATTGAGAATCACTTCTACCCCTGTAGAGCTAGACATGCTAGTGTACGTAGCATTGCTGTTTGTCATATGGGAGTTACTCTGACTAGAGGTGGAGTTGTAACGCCATATCATGGTGATGTGGGATGGATTTGGTGATTAGAAGAAGTCAAATAGTAATTTAGTGTAAGTATACTACATTTGACACTAATTTAATATTTGATTCCGTTCACCTCCAAATTAGTTCTAGTAATTGAAAAGCGGGGATAGATGGTATAAATATGCCACATGAAAAGTGATGATAAGAGAAAAACCAAACCAAAACATTAGAATACAATTGGTTATAGAAATATTTTATTATTTTGTGTAATTTATGTGTCTTGACCATTTTCTGTCGTCTCTCAGTTTGAGATCTTTTAAATTTGAAACATCACATTGGGTTGCAAGATGGATTAATTAGGCTTCTTTGATTTAAGAGCAAACTTTTTCTTATAAATTAAGAAGAAAAATTGTATTTATGCACTGTGAAAGACATACATGTTAAGAAACAATGTTTTAAAAAGAGTTCCTTCCCTACCCCACCCCCAAAACCGGTTTCCCAGAAGTAACCACAAGGGTTGATGTGTTTTTCTAGTTGTTTTCTGTACAAATAAAAGCTTATAAGTGTATATTCTCTTTATTAATATAAATTAGTTTACACTCTGTATGCTGTTCAACATCTTGTCTTTCTTGCTTAAACATATATATGTTTTCCTTTTATAATTGTTTTTAAAGTTCACAGTGTGTTAACTAAGGCTGAAGACGCTTTAATCTCTGCTTTTCCAAGAAGTAATCCCTGTTTCTAGTTTGGTGTTTATGTTTTGATAATTCCTATGGTGCCTATAGATTTAGTATTATTTTTATTTTAATATATATTGTAGCATTTCTATGTATTGATAATGTTGTGAACCATCGAGTCAGACCAGCCCACTGTTGACCCTTCGGCTGGTTTTCAGAGGCACTTAATTGCAGGGGAGGAGATTGCCCATCCTTCTCCTGCGGAGCAGCTGATGGATTCGAATCATGGATCTTAGAGATTGCAGTGCAGCTTCTTGCCACTAGACTACCAGCATTCTATGTATTGATAAATTTTTTTATTTTCACTCATCAAGATCTGCTCATATTGCATGGGAATGAAATGGGAGTCTTCAACCATGTTTCTGGTTTATGCTAGTTTTGTAAATTCATTGTCTATTTATTGGTGCTAATAGAAGTTGTCAAGGATTTAATTTTATTTGGATCCACATCAATATCCATGAGAGCAACAGTCAGGAAATAAGATTACGTACTGCAGTGGGCAACTACACCAAACTCTGGAGAAGGTGTAGCCAGAGTGCTTCTTGGAGGCAAGGGTGGTAAAGCTTCATCTCACATGCTTTGGCCGTATTGCTAGAAGAGGTTATTTCTTGAAGAGAGACATCATGCTTGGGAAAGTGGAAAGTCCATGAAGGAGAGGAAGACCCTTAACGAGGTGGACTGACACTGTGACTGCAGCAATGGACTCAAGGGTACCAGAGATTGTGAGGCTGGCACCAGGATAGGACAGGGTCTCTGTGAGTCGTACTTGACTCAACAGCACCTAAGAACAATAACTAAATGATTTCTTGCTGGTGGTTCAGATCCACCAGCGGCTCTGCGGGGGAAAGATGGCCAGCCTCCTCTTGTACAACCCTAAAACCCCAGTGTCTTTCATCTTTTGAGAGTATTCCTCTTGCTTAGTAAACCTATCTCTGTCTAACTACAAACTACGTACAAACAACAAAAACCCCAAAGGGTCAGCTAAGAGTAGTTTCCAACATGACACAATGAGCTCAGTCTCAATAACTATTGGGGGAGCTCTGGTGATGAATTTCCTGAAGGACTGAGCTGCTAACCCAAAGGCTTCTTCTCTGGAGCTTCTTTGCCCCCTTCTCTCAGGAAAGCAGCTCAGTGGAAGAAAGAGAAGAAAGACCCTTGGGAGGGTCAGTTTAGTACCTACTTGATGGCAAGTAAGTGAGTGAGCAAGAGAATAGCTACTGATCTTGAGCATTTCTTAATGTGTTAGTTGGCCATCTGAATGCCTTTGAGTGCTTTTTTAAATTTCTTTTTTATTTTCATGAAGATTTACAAATCATACTTGTTTTTAATACAATTCACTTATAGACATTTTGTTTTATAACATTAATGTAGTTAATTAATAACAGTGTCTAATTAGTCTCTTACTGTGTATTGCCTTTCCCTGGTGGCATCATGTCTTTTCATGTACTCTGCCCATTTTTAATTGAATTTTTTGTCTTTTTCTTGTTGAAGTATTGGAATTTTTGTATATGATGTGGGTACAGATCTTTTTTCTTTTCTTTTTTTTTTTTTCAGTTTTCTGCAGATAAATAGTTTTGCCAATTTGTTTAGGAGGTTGCCTTTTCCCCATTAAATGGTTTTTGTCATTTTGATCAGCAATTTATAGATAGATAGATTTATTTTTGTTTAATTCTTTCTGTTGGTCTTGTGTCTGTTGCTCTACTAGCACCAAGCTTGAATAGCAAGATATTAGGTGATCCATGTGCTCTTAAATTTTGCTTCATGAAGAGAAGTGTCAATGTCTTATTTAGTTACAAAGACTATATAGTTTAAAAGGTGATAATTTTAAAATAATAAGATATTAGAATGAGGTGAAAATTACTACTACTGCTTTTCTGTCAGAATTGATTTCTCCTTTCTAATTCTGTGGTATAAACACTTTATATAAGGCAAGAAAATTGTCTAGAAATCACTAGTAACTTGTGTGTGAAGAGACCTCAGTCTTCTGTGTGTGTATAACCCAAGGAAAGTTCAGAACATGTGGCAGAGAGGAATAGTGAGCATGTGGAGCCGGGCGGGCCTGGTTCTCACCCTGCCTGGCAGATCGTGCTCTTCCATGCTTCAGTTTCTCCATTTGAAAAAGGAGGGCTAACAGTGTATTTTCCAAGTTACTTTTCAACTTTGAGAACCCATGATTTGAAGGCGATAATTTGCAAATCTATCTCTTATGTTATTTGGCATCCCAGGTGTACTTCTTTAAGAAAACTCATATAAAAAGTAGAATTTAGAAAGCTGATGAATGTTATGGTGATTTTTCTCATGCCAAAGAATTTTTAGAGGACGTTATTTTTCTTGAGTAGACTTTTCTTGAGTGTGAAGAAGATCAAGAAGAATGTAAGAAAAGTTGCGAGTTGATGAACTGAATCCGATTCAAGAACTCCTTTGAAATTAGTATTCTGTTTTGGTGTGAAAATTCTCATTTAAAAAATACTTTATGAGTCTAACTATTGTGAAAAATTGGACAGACTCATATATCATCAGGGAAACTGGTATAAAAACTGAGTGTTAAATTTAAGGTTACAAAAGAATTTAAGGTTACAAAAATCCCATCAATAATTTTAGAGTGTTCTGACTTTAAAACGTAACACATTATTTAGGATTTAAACATATAAATTAGTAGTGGAAATAAAGTTCATTATATCACCTCATCTGGTCTTGTTTTATTTCATTAACTGGTTCTTAAAAACCTTTGTGAGCTGAGTCACAGCTGAAGAGGTTGGAGACCATTTTTCCTTGGGCCCTTGCTGCACTCCTGAGTGTTGGTAAGAGTAGAGAACTAAGACTAGACACAGCTGTAAAAACAGACAGAGCCTTTGGCCTCAGCACTTTCTCCTGGTACAGGCAAATTTCAGATGTAAATTTTACTCCTTGCCTCTCCTACTAATGAAGTAAGTTTCTTTTGCTGGGTTTGCAGCCAGGTGTGTCCAGTCCTGTGGCTAACTGTGGCTCTTTACTTAATTTTTCCATTTGTGACATTTCAACCAAACTTAAAAAACAAATATAAAAATTAGCTCAAGGCAGTGGCTCAATGTGTTAATGGTAACCTTAGGTTGGCTAAACTACTTCCTCTCAGTTCTGCCCTGCCAGACATCTCCACCTTGTGGCTTACAATGAGCAAGTTTAAGCTTTCCAAATTGGGCAGGCTAGTTAGAAGAGGATTAGGGTAGGTTGTAGTTAAGAAATTGGGACATTTACTCCTTATCAGTCATCTGCCATGCTGGTAGGACTTAAGATTTCTTGTTAGCAGTATTCCAGAATAAGAACTTGTCATTTTATGATCTCTTGCTCTCTGTAGTGTATAATGCTGCTTGATGAGATGAGACATAGGGCCTAGGAAGAGATAGAGGAGTTATGGGACTGACCCACACTACTTTGTGAAATTCTGCTTTGCTTTTCTGAACCAGTATTTGCTTTTCAAGGTCCTTTGTTATCACTCCCATATTACCTTTCCAGATTCAATTCCTCTAGCTCATCCTTAACCTTAAATATGCGAAACCTTAACTCAAATGTCCCTAAGTTTATGTCCAAATAGATTGCCCTAACAGCTTAATCCTAATTCTTTCACATCCTCCAAGGTCTCTTACCATTCCCACTCCAAATAGCAAGCAAACCCTAACTTTTCCTAGTTGGAATAAGTGCCATAATAATTTATATGTAAATGTCTTAATTCTATTTTGCTCATTGTCATTCATGTATGTAGCAAATTTCTGGTGATGAGAGTCACATACAATCTTAGAATTCTTCGAAGTGCCTATTACTGCACTTGGGCTAAATTGATGACAGATATCTGAAAGAGATCCTGATTGGTGCAAATAGTTAAACATTTGACTAATTTCAAAAAGTTGGTGGTTTGAGCCCATCCTGTTAGTCTCCTATGCCAACCGTCTACCTTTCCAAGTATCATGTCCTTCTTCAAGCAATAACATGCCTCATCATCTTTGCCTCCAAAGAGTGCTCTGTCTATACCCTCTCCAAGTCATATTTGTTTCTTCTTTTGGAAGTCTATAAGAT